TTAAATTAATACAACAGAATTACTTCAAGAGCTACATGGATTATGTCTAATTACACTGGTTGCAATTCAAGTTGGATGTTACTCTTCAAGCTAAGCAGGGTACAGAATATGGTAACTATGGACCCCCTTTTTCTAACTATGTCTGCCTTGCCTATGAAAAATATGCTTCTTGTGTGCACCTTCTCTTAGGGAATGTCATGAGTCAGGATGTGAAGGATAGGCCTTTCCAAATATTTTCTTCCATGTATGGAACAATATCACCTGGAGATTTTATGGCCCCAAACATTTTGGAATTCAGGAAAGCCATGAAATCTTGGCTTTTCCCATAGACCTTTGAAGTTGGGATGCTGTTTGCTCTTGTAATACTGTCTGATTAATATAAGAAGTGGTTCTCGGGATATATGTTTAAGAATTTTTCATGTCTGTTGCTGCAATTTAAAATTATTTTAGCCATAATGGTTAATGTCAAGTGTGGATCATGGTGAGAGTAGATAAAGATTAGACCTCAACAAATAAATAATAAAAAGTGTCTTTTGAACTTTTAAAAGCAATGGCAGACAGAGACCCAATGTACCAAGATTCCAGCAGCAGTTATGGGAAAGAAAGAATTTCCCAGACAGAGATTAGTCAGAAACTGAGTTAGCGAACTCAATAAGCCAAGCATTCTCCCATACTGGAGAATGAATCTGAGGTTGGTGTAAGTTTTCTGACAAGGCGCAGCTACTGGCAACAAGGGGGCAAGGCTCATTTAAATTGATGACCCCATTCTTTCTAAGGAGAGAGTACCATGTGTCACTTTGGCTCTCTAAATTTGACAAAATACTCTGAGGTTGGGGGGTGTATGTTTTCAGGACTTTGACTGACTTCTGTTGTAACTTGTCTGGCTGATAAAGAGATGAATTCTGACATTGTGTTGAGATACGTTCTTCTGCTTCTCAAGAGAAGCAAAGAAGATGATGACATGTATTTCTTTGGTATTTCCTTTAAATATGCAATTCTTGTAATTGTCTTAATAGGTTGTCTATTATTAATGTCTATGCCATCCTGTCCCTGGAATCTCAATTAAATCAGGATTTTGCCAGGAGCAGACAATGAACCTACAATGCAAAACTCATCTCCTTCAGTAAAAACAAACTGTCCAAAATTCTATAGATACAGTATCTATTCACCAGAATAGGACTGATACGAGAAGATGTAAAGTATTGCAAACTTTAATGCAAAGTATTAAACATATTGTGTAAGATTAGCCACAACGTGCATTTTCTAGTTCCTAGAAGACCTGCACAAAGCAACGCCAGAGGTGATTGCCTGGACAGCTGAATTGGACATCCAATTATGAAGCCTCTGTGATACCTCCATATATGTTTTGTATATAATTACATGGGTTGACTGTATATGTTTACTGCCCTTTTATCATAATTTCTCTAATTAATTAAGAATATTCAATAAAAATCAATTAAGTATAAGTCTTAATTCAATACCCCTAAATTTAAATTCATACAACATAATACAATTCTCAATTATTTCCTTGAGTTCTCTTATTCCAATCTCAAATAATTTTTTAATCAACTGTTTCAAATAATACACTTCAACATATTTATAAAAAACAATTAAGTATAAATCTTATCTAATTAATTCATAAACCAATATCATTTCAGCTTTCTTTTCTTTTTTAGTTAAATTCCAGATATGTGGTTAAGAATATTCCAGTTGTTACAATTTCCTTAATTAATTGAAAGTATTCCAATTGTTACATTCATCATACATCCATATGGTTTTAAATTACTTAATTAATAACACAATTTCATTTTTTCTCTAATATTCATTTATTCATTACCATATATTCCTCTTCCATTTCTTTCTCCCTTTCTATTTTATTTTTTTCTTTCCCCTTCTTTTCCTTTGTGCTTTAAAATCCTGAACTCTCTTTTCCCTTTTTCTTATCTTTCCACTGTTAATCCCAGTATAATTATTTTGTTTTTTAAAATCACAATCTCTACTATTTTGCTGTGCATTTCCCATTATTTTCCATCCCTTTTTCCTTTTTCTTATTTTCCCACTGATAGTCCCAGTGCAATCATTTAATTTTTTAATATTCTTTCTATTCCACTCTCTTTTCCTTCTTTCTTTCCCCCTTTTCTATTTCTTCCATTCTTAATTCCAATTAATTTTTAACCTTCTCCTTTTTATTATTACTACCCACATAATCATTTAATTTTCCATAATCAATCTCCTTGTCTTTGTCTTCTTCTGTATTGTCAGTCTCTCTTTCTTGCTTCTCATTAGTTGTTTCCTTGTCAGTTTGAATATATCTTAAGTCAATTTTTTGATCATCAAATTTTGGTTTTCCGTGCAACATTGTGGTCATTTCGCTTATTTCCATTTTCAATGATAAGTACATCATTTTCATCATTTCCTTAAGTTCCTGCACCATTTTGTTCTTTCTAGATAGATATTATTCCAATTTGAAGTTACGCTGTAATCCTCCTTTTTTAATCATCAAAGTCACAGCGCTTATAGACAAAGCCTCCTTAAAAATTCTCACAGCTGTTATTCCTTCAAAGTTCAAGTTTTTTTCCCAAAACAAAGATTCAGTGTTGTAGTATTTTTTTTCTCCTGAAGATGGCTCTCTACAATCCACAATTGTCACTAGCAACCTAGAAAAGTATTCATTTTGTTTGCAAGACTGTTGCTTTAACAGTCTTTACTTATTTAATTTTTCCTCTTCTTCTTTTTCACCTTTATATGCACGAAATCAATTTAAAATTAGGCTAGGTTTGTAAAGTCCAAATTCCAACTTTACATTCCAATTCAATTTCAGTTTAGAATCTTTAACTGGTCCTTTCTATTGCGGGTTTTTCTTCATTCTTTAATCTTCCTTCCTTTAAGATTCCCAAATTAGAGAAAGATCTTTTCTTAATTCTTCTAATTTTTTTAAGTTCTCCAAATAAGTAAATCCAAAAAACAATTTTCTGATCGGGTTTTGTCATTTTATAACTTCCACTTTAATCTTCTTCCATCCTTTCCACACGCCTATTAGCCGCTGTTATACCGCTAGGACATTTATAATTATTTTGAAAATCCTCTCTTTTTTTTCCTTTCTGCCTATGAGTTAGTTGTCACTCACCCAGACTCAATGTTCCGCTCAATTCTCTGCTCCTGCACAATGCTTCATCCGGTGCCCCACCTTACTGGCGATGGCAATGGCCGCTGCCCTCCGCTGCAGAGTCAGAGAGAGTTTCCTCTGACCTCTGATGAACTTGCCTGTTCCTCTTGGTCTTCCAAGGTGCCTCTCCTTCTTCCCTGTCCCTACAGGACAGGTCTGGTCCAAAGACCCCTCTGCAGCAGTTCGTCAGACTGGGATTTCACCAGGCTCATCAGAGCCCGCTAACCCATGACTGTCTCGCCACGATGTTTCCAGTCAAATCATTTACTGCTCTTATGTCATGTTCTCATCATAAACTAAATAATAATAGTCATAATGGTAGGATTCCAAAGGATCGTCCCTCCCCCTCTGGCCTTAATATTGTGAACCCATCCAGGAACACATTTAGCTAAGATGAATCTAATAGATTCCAGGACAATATATCATTGCAGATCACACCAAATCTCAAATGCATTTTTTAAAAAATGCATCCAGATGAGTAAAACAATGTCGACAATAATTACCTTCACCTTCAAGCGTAACCCAAAATAAACAATGTTCCCCTTATTCATTAATTTCAGTAGGACAGAATTAGTTCTCATCCAAGGCACAGTAATAATAATGACATCATAATTAAGTAAGAAGACAAAGGTGGGACAGTAGTCATTATGAGTAAGAGTAGTTTCTCAGGGAAGCTGAGAAGCAGTTCTCCAATTCCATCTTCTTCAAACAAATCTCCCCTGTTCCACAACAACATTTCTTTTAGGCTTTCAGTGACTAAAGGAGGATAAGAACACATTGTCCCCCTGTTTTTGACCCAACCCCTTACCTTTCTTTGGAGAGGAATGCTGTCTGCTCATGGTCTTCAGGATTTAAATCCATTGGTTTTTACATTCATTCATACTATATCTTCTTCTTGATTGAAATGAAATTCAACGTAGAGAAAAATAAAGTCTAACACTTAGGCAATAAAAACCAAAAGTAGACATAGAGACAGGGTGAAATCAGGTTTAATAATGTGAGAGGGATCTTGGGGTCTCAGTGGACAATCAATTAAATATGAGCCAACAGTGTGTGGTGGCAGCCAAAAAAGCCAATGCAATTCTAAATTGCATTAACAGAGGGATCACAATCAAGATCGAGCGATGTACTAATACCACTCTATAAAGTCTTAGTAGGACCACACTTAGAATACTGCATCCAGTTTATTTCACCACACTATAAAAAGTTTTTGAGACTCTAGAAAGAGTGCAGAGAAGAGCAACCAAGATGATGGGGGGACGGGAGGTTAAAACATACGATGAATGATTTCAGGAACTGGGCATGACTAGTCTAGTGAAGAGAAGGACCAGGGGAGACATGATAGCAGTGTTTCAATATTTGAGTGGTTGTCACAGACAGGAGGGGATCAACCTATTTTCCAAGGCACCAGAAGGCCATGAAACAATATATGAAAATTGAACAAGGAGAGATTCAACCTGGAAATTTTCTGACAGTGAGCGAAATGGAACCATTTCAATTGAAAAGCTTGCCTTCAGAAGTTGTGAGAGCTTCATCACTGGAAGCTTTCAAGAAGAGACTGGACTGCCATCGGTGAGAAATGTTGTTGGGTTTCCTGCTTGGGCAGGGAGTTGGACTAGATGACCTACAACATCCCTTCCAACTCTGTTCATCTGTTAAAAAACCTACTGCCTACTACTCTGATTAGGGCTGAGAATCATTATCTAACTATCAACAATTATCTAACAATTAAAAAGTGATTAGGGGATTGTGAAGTGAACTTCTCAAAATTATTGCTTTGTATGTCCTATTGATGTGGTGATGGACAGAAAAAGGCGGAACCACAAATTGGGGGAAAAAATCTCTATATGCTAAAAGCAACCAATCAGGTTTCATTCAAGGGATATGGTGTTAAAATCAGTTTCATTTTTTCATTAGTTGCTCCTTCTTATTCAAATTAGGTCTCAGAACAATGATATAGCATTTGGGGAAAAATATGCACCCCAGTAATCCAGCTGCTGAAGCCAAAATGGAGAAGATCTCCACAGCCACCATGTATTTTCCCTTGGTACTCAAATAGGTGGGAACAAATGATACCCAAACACTGCAAAAGACCAACATGCTGAAGGTGATAAATTTGGCTTCATTAAAGGTGTCAGGCAAATTCCTGGCTAGGAAGGCCACAGTGAAACTGACAGCAGTCAAGAACCCCAGAAAACCAAGCATTGTATAAAACATGGTGGTTGAACCTTCATTACATTGTAGAACAATTTCTTCAGCCATGGAGTGCATGTCAGAATCTGGGAAGGGAGGAGAAATTGTGAGCCACACCACACAAATGCAGAATTGTGTCAGAGAGCAAGATAGAACAATAGAAATAGCCAGCCTTTTCCCCACCCATTTTCTCATTTTGGATCCGGGCTTGGTGGCCATGAAAGCAAGGACCACTATGATAGTTTTCCCCAATATACAAGAAAGGGCTACAGAAAAGATGATGCCAAAAGCAGTTTGTCGCAAGAGACATTTCACTTGGTCAGGTTGCCCAATGAAGAGCAAAGTGCAAAGGAAAGAGAGCAGGAGAGCAACAAGAAGGCTATAAGTGAGGTTCCTATTATTGGCTTTCACAATAGGTGTGTCCTGATGTTTAATGAATATCCTGAGCACCACAGCTGAGATGACAGAAAAGGAGACTACAATAACTGCCAAAGAAATCCCCAAAGGTTCTTCATAAGTTAAGTAAATTATATGTTTTGGAAGGCAAGTATCCTTATCCTTGTTTGGATATTGATCCTCTGGACAAGGGAAACAGTCATCCAAGTCTGAAAAAGAAACCATTCATAGAAACATTATCTCATCATTTCATTTTCAGTATATTCCAATTTTGCAGCAATCTGTAGACTTAATGAGCTCCCAGTTTGATTACTAGAATGACCTTCATATGGTGCTGCCCTTGAAGACCATTTCAAAAGTGTAACTGGTTTGCATTGCAGTGGACATGCACTTAATGGACATGGCTCCAAGTTGCTTACTCTATGCAATTCCATTTTCTGGTTATCACCATTAAATCCCTGAATGTCATTGGGCCAAATTATAGGTGAGATCACCCTTCTTCAATGGTATCTGTCTTTCCCAATAAGTCCGATAGATGGGCATGCTACAGAGTTTTGTGCTAAATGTTGCCTCTGGGAGTTCAGAGTTGTATCTGGTCTGTAGTGTCCAGTCTTTACTTTTCCATGTATGTGAATTTCCTACCCTTTTATCCTTGTAGCAGGTTTGGAAAACCTTATTGTTCCCTAAAGCAGTGATGGCTAACCTTTTTACCGTCGCGTGCCAAAAGCGGGGGGAGCATGGGGGAGTCCCACACCCATAATTAAATGCTCCCCATGTGACCCCCCCACGCTCCCTCCGCTTTTGGCACGTGATGGCAAAAAGGTTACCGGTGGGCCCGGTAGGCCCGTTTTTCTCCCTCCCCAGGCTCCAGAGGCTTTCTTGCAGCCTGGGGAAGGCAAAAACGGACTTCCCCACTCCCATGGAGGCCCTCCGGAGGCCGGAAACAGCCCATTTCCTGACTTCTGGAAGGTCTATAAATCAGCTGGCCAGCGCACGCGTGCGCACTGGAGCTGAGCTAGGACAACATTCGTGTGCCCACAGATATGGTTCCACATGCCACATATATATTAGCATATATTGTATATCTTTTAGTTGTTATAGAAGAAGAAATATAGGTGAGGGGGAAAGGTCTTGGGGGGGATGCACTGTAATATTTGTATTTTTTCTCTTTTTCTGTATTTAGAGTTATAAATACATGTGTGTATAAATGTGTATATTATTTGTATTCAAAATAAATAAAAATTAAAAAATCAAAAAATCAAATGTTTCAATAAGATGCTACGCTCAATATTTTCAATCATCATACTATTTATTAAAGATATTTATTTATTAAAAATAACCCCCATTTATATTTATTATATCATTGAAATAGTTAATATAATTCTTTGCTTACCCAATTGGTCAGCTGTCTTCCCATCTGGACATAGTTTACAGTTATAGCAACAGGATAATTTCCCTTCCACTTTTATCTTGCTGTGGCCAAGAGGACACTTCTTGTTACAGATGGAAAGAGGTAATGCCTGCTCAGAAAATAAACCAAAATTCACAGAAAGAATGTAATCTTGGCGGATTGTTCTTTCCATCAATTACACATATGCAAACTCTTCATATATAATCCAAACATTGGAAAAATGTGGAATGTGCTCCGCACGGCCTGTTTTAACCAAAAACACACCCGTTTTTGGCCCGCAGAGTGCTTATGGGAGCCAGGGAGGGCAAAAACATGACGTGTGGAGGGTTCAGGAGGCGAAAAATGCCTGTATTCGGTCTATAAGATGCACCTAAATTTTCACCCACTTTTAGGGGGGGTGGGAAGGTGCATCTTATGCTCTGAAAATTACAGTATGTAGATGTTATATTTTCTCTAATTAAAGAATGTGATCAACCATCCCCTATTTCAGAGGAGGTTATTAAAAAGTTAATTCTAAAGTGTTGAAATCATGAAATTTGTATTTTTTTTTAAAAAAAAAAATCATTCTGTTTTAATAAATTGTATTATATCTTAAAGTACATACACCTCTAAAGAATTTAGCAAATGTACTTAGAAAGACATCCTGTATAATAAGATACCTTAGCATTGGAACTACAGAAATATTTTGGATATACAAATCTTAAGCTACCTCTTTGATCCCAGTAAAGGAGAACATTTGTAGCTCTAGATTGAAATGAGGGGTGCTTGATGCTCTCTGAATTTGGTACCACAATGGTGATGTTATCTAGTTTGGGTAATGAAATGCCTGCAAGAAAGCAAACAAACTCAAGAAGCTCCAAGGACACCACCATACATACAACTCTTTGACTTTAGACTTTGTCTTCATATCACATTCAAAAGAAGAAAAAATACCCACTTACTCCTTTTGGCATTCCAAAGGACCTGAAGACCTTATCCTGCCAACTGGCTTGGAGCTTCAAAGTGATTTAATCATTCTGAGGATGGTTAAAGGATTAAGCAAGATCCTATCTCCTCGCTTCCAATTACAAGCCACCTAGAGTCATCTGTAGCTACCCATCCCTAGGTGAGATGCCCAGCATATAAGTTTAATAATAAATAATAATACATGTAAATTGAGCCCAATTTGCGCCCAAAATTTCTGTTGCTAAGTGAGACAGTTAAGTGAGTTTTGCCCATTTTATGACTTTTCTCACCACAGTTGTTAAGTGAATCACTGCTGTTGTTAATAGCAATAGCAATTACACTTAGACTTATATACCAATTCACAGTGCTTTACAGCCCTCTCTAAGAGGGTCTCTCTTGATTTTATGATTTTATGGTTGGTTTTAAATTTTGATATGGATTTTAAATTGATAAATTTTAAACTATGGGCCAAATTTAATTATTTTAAATCTATTTTTAATCGTATTTATGTATAAATGTTTTTATTTTGGCTGTTCACCGCCCTGAGTCCGAAAGGAGAAGGGCGGTATAGAAATTTGAATAATAAATAAATAATAAATAAATAAGAGGTTTACAGAGTCAGCCTGTTGCTCCCAACAATCTGGGACCAACCTCGGAAGGATGGAAGGCAGAATCAACCTTGAGCCTGGTGAGATTTGCCAAATTGAGAACAGAGGGTGGAAAAGAACTGAGGGGAGACAAGATGTAACTTAAGCTAACAGTTTATTAACGCTAACAGTTTAGGTAACAGTGACAGTTCAGCTAATGGCAACAGCTGATTCTCCATCTGACAGCTCTTTTTATACTCAGCTGTCAGATGGCCAGCCAATCAGGTTGAATCTCTCTTCCTGCTTGAGAGATGGACTGAAGTGAAGCCTTAGTACATGACACTACTTCCCACCTGGATGGTGCATGTCCTTTGTATTCCCTGCTGCCACCATCGTCCACCACCTTGGACCACCGCCTGGTCCAAGCTAAGTAACTTGAGTTTACTTTATAAACCTTGCTCTGCTGCTTTCTGTCCTTCCCCCCCTCCCGCCTGTTGAATTTCTCATCCTCCCCCAGGCTCTAGACCAGTGATGGCTAACCTTTTTGCCATTGTGTGTCAGGCCTCTCTAGGAGTCTCTGGAGTCTGGGAACCACAATAAACATCACTTCCTGTCCCACCAGGAGTTGGGAAATGGGCTGTTTCAGGCTTCCAGAGGGCCTCTGAGGGAGTGGGGAAGGCTGTTTTTGCCTTCCACAGATGCATAGAGAGGATCTGGAGCAGGTAAGAAAGAAAAACAGGCCTTCCCCACCCACCCCCAGCCCCTCCAGAGGCAGGAAATAGCCTGTTTCCCTAATCCTGGTGGACCTAGAAGGCCTAAAAATCAGCTGGCTGGTGCGCGCATGCGCGCCAGAGTTGAGCTGGCATGCCCACTGATATGGCCACACGTGCCACCTGTGGCACGTGTGCCATAGGTTTGCCATCATGGAAATAGGGTTTCCTTGGTAGTCCTGGAGTCTCAGGGAGCAGTGTCTCAGCCACTTCTTAGCGATGGTAGGCATCAGTCTCTTGAATGTGCTTCATGAGACTAAGGACATGGATGATCCAGTGTCCACTGCCATCTGGCAGGGGGCCCCTTCGAGTTTGAACGTGAGGTAAATTTTCTTGGTTAAGGCATGGCTGGCCTGAACAATGACTGTTTCTGCCTAGTAACTGTCTCTAAAAATGGAAAAACAGTTCTCCATCCCTTGGCAGTCTCTGTTGCAGCTTTTTGGCATATTACTGGCCTACTGGCTGGGTTGCCCTGCAGACCCTGGCCAAATGACCTTTCTTCTGGCACCTCTAACAGATGGCTGTTTTTATCCGGCAATCTGCTCACGGGTGATTCTCGCTGCAGCCTACTCACGCAGTTGGAGGAAACAGTGGCTTCTTTTCTGTGACACAGCCCATCGTTTTTGCTCCCTTGAGGCGGTTCATGTCCTCCATCACCTCTTCGTCATTATGCATGGCAATGGTTCTTCTTGCCATGGATGGACTGATTGCCTTTGAATCTCTACCATCAATTGGTTCGACATCTCTGTCGAGCATACCTCCTCTAACATGGCTTGTAGGGTTAGGTCTGTTCTGGCTGAAGCCGGATGTTCCTCACCCTGCATACCACTCGATCTAGGAGGATGTCATCCAGGTCCCTGAAGTCACAGTACAATGCTGCCATCCTCAGTGCCACCACATACTGTTTAATGGACTCACCCTCACGTTGGTTTTTGTGGTGGAAAGCGTGATGGCAGGCTATTTGTGAGGGCATGGGCATGTAGTGGCTTCCTAGTTTGCCTTCTAGCATCTCCCAGGGCATCGATTGGACCGCCACAGGGGTGAGAAGAGCACTTGTGGTTTCAAACATGTCAGCTCCACAGAAGCTTAGGAAAAATGCTTTTTTACAGTTGCTTGAGAGTCCTGTGTAGTCATTGGTTTTGAGAAAGCACTGGAACCTTGCTATATAAGAGTCCCATGTTTCCACAGCTGGGTTGTAGGTCATGAAAGTAGTCAATCCAGCCACCTCCTGTCAGACCGTGGCACTTAGCGGATGCGTCTGAGGAAAATTGGGCTTGTAGCACAATTATTTCACCATTTGTGACTTCACGTTCATGACTAGTCGGGTGGTAGCAACTAGCTCAATTTAACAGCTTCAGCTCAGGTTTAGTGACTAGCTCGCTCTGTCACCTCAGTTCTCTCTCTTTTTTAAAAATTTTAAAAAGTTTTTTATTAATAATTCAAAATTAAAAACATTGGACATAGATATGACATCACTGGTCCCAAGCATCTTCCAATACTTTAAGTTAATACATAATATACTAATGATAATATAATAATATATTCCTTACACCTTATACATTATTTAAACATAGTATAATAATAGTCATTTATATCTTATTCCTATACAATTATACATATCTATACCTACATATACCTATCTATACAATTCACATACATATTTATCTATTTGTCTCGGCTATCCTCCTTTTATCTAACCATTCATAGAATTTTGCCCAGATTTTATAGTACAATGTTTAGCTTTTATCCTTGAGTTCCAAGGTGAGTCAATCCATTTCTGTGCAGTTGAAAATTTTTAGTAGTATTTTCTCTTCATTTGGAGTATATTTCTCTTTTCACTTCTGCGCAAAGGCTATCCATGCCGCTGTAAGTATATGTAGTAGTAGATAATTTATATCTTCTTGTATTTGCCCTCTGTCATTCCCAAAAGGAGAAATTCCAGTTTGTCTTTTATGTTTATTAACAAAATTTCTTCCAACCAACTCTTTATCAGATTCCAATATTTCTTTGCCTTTGGGCATTCCCACCACATATGATAGAAGTTCCCCGGAGCCACCTCACACTTCCAACATGCCAAAGAATTTCCCTTATTGATTCATGCTAATCTTGGGGGGGGGAGGTGCCATCTATAAAACATCTTATATAAATTTTCGTTATATGAAGTTACTAATATAATTTTTAAAAATTTTTCCCAGAGTCTGCCAATTGTCCAAATCAATACTATGCCCAAAATATTTACTCCAAATTATCATTGTTTCTTTGACTTGTTCCTCAATCATGTCTTGTTCCAATAAATAGCAATATAATTTACTTATGGTCTTACCCTCCCTGCTTAATAAAATCTTATTTAATTGTGATAATTCTTGCTTTAGACCTCATTCCTTTTTGTCTTTGCTAAATTTAGATTGTATTTGAAGGTATGCCAACCATTTAACTTGATTCCCTCTTCCTTTAAAATGTTTCTCACTTTCAATTCTCCTCTCTCATTCAAAATATCATTATAGGTGTCTATCACCTCAGTTCTCAAATCCCACCCTCGTCACCAGTATTCACGTGATGTATAGTGACATTTTCCCCCTTCATGGAGCTGGGGTGAGTGTGGCCTGCATGTGAGACACCTTGCCTGTAGGCTGCCAGTTTGTCAACCCTGATTTAGTCCATCAATCTGTGGAGAATAATTTCAGGAAAAGGGAAAAATGAGACATACCTGGTTAAACATGAGAGGCCAAACAGCTTCCTTGTCAGAAATGGTGAGGAGCTTTTCTGAGAGAGCCAGGGGGTCAATCTTTCCAATTTGTTTTTTCAGAAAGGACTTATTTGGAAATGTGACCCAACTGAAAATATCAAGTCCTGTTTCTAATTCCCCATTGGGACCAAAGGAAATCTGTTCTCCAGCACTGTTGTTAAAGGTGACTTGTTGCAAAAAAAGGTGGAGCTAAAGGAAGATGACAACAAAGAGGATAAAAACAGGAAAGTTATCAGAAATCTTTGAAGGGGATGGGAACATTTCAATTTGTTTCTTTCAATTTGGCCTAGGCTTAAAGAAAACTAAGATGTCACATTTTGCCTTGGTCAAACTATTTCAAACTGATAAAAAAATATAGTTTTATCAAATACATTTTCACCTCTCAGCTGAAAAACTGTCAGATGAGAATTCCAACAGAAAATCCAGAAAGGGACAGATCTAGGAAATCACTTTTCTTTGATTGAGCATTTCAGAAATGGGGAATTTAGTGTTCTGCCATATAATAGGCGAGATAGACAGTGGCATGTTAACAGCGGCCAGAATTGTGTTTGCACAACATTGGAAGGGCGAGGAGATCCCCACAGAAGTAAAGATAATAACGAAAATTTTAGAATGTGCAGAAATGAATAAACTAACATTTCAAATTAAATAAAAGGAAGACACTGAATATTTTGACGTATGGGAACTGTTCTATCGATGGTTAAATAAGAGAAACAGGAGTTGGAATCTTGAAGATTACAAGAGAAAGATTAATCTCATTATTAGGGTTGTTGACTGTAACTTATTAATTTTGATTAGTATTACTAATTAATATGTATTAATTTTATAAGGGAAAAGCACTGTTAATTATCAAACTACCATTAGAGCAGAGGTCATCAACTGGTGGTCCATGGACCACTGGTTGTCCATGATAAATTATTTGTATTTTTTGTATTGCACTAAATTAGGGGTCCTCAAAGTACAGTTCCTGGGCTGGATATGTGCAGTGAATGCTTGTGTTGCTGCAGAGAGTCTCCCCCTTCAGGGTCTTTTGGTGCAGGTTGGAGGGGGAAGAAATTCCGACTTGGGGGTCTGCTTCAGCCTCCTGGTGCAGGACTTTGGGCGAAGGCTGGAGGGAAGCGCCGCTGGTGGCAAAAAGCCAGAGGGCCTCATTCCAGTGGGACTGCATCATGGCCTGGAACTGGCTGACCATCTCAGCTTGTTGAGCCTCCAGGCATCGGTACCTGGCCTTGCACTCCTGCAAGTCTTCCCTCTGCTTGGAAAGCCTATACTCATAGTCCTCAGTAAGGTGCTTCTGCTGAGGTGCTTCTTCTCAGTTAGATCCAATTTGAATCAAGCCAGCTATTTTGCTAACTCTTTCTCATGGTTGATGCTTAGCTCCAACAACTGCTTCCTGTTGGGGCCCTAATGAGACTGGGAGGACAAGTGAGGAGTGGCTGGGAGGGAAGGGATGAGTAGAGGCTGGCAAAGTGCCCCTCGATGTGAGTAACATCAAGTTGGCCATGCCTACCCAGTCACATGACCACCTAGCCACACCCACCCAACCAGTCCTTAGGCAGATCATATTAGTGGTCCGCAGGGTTTAAAATTATGAATTTAGTGGTCCTTGAGGTCCAAAAGGTTGGGGACCCCTGCATTAGAGGATACTATTATTATGATTATGATAAATACTACTCCAAAGACCTGTAACCAGGCAACACATTGTATATATGGATTTTGAACATGTTGCTCTTTTTTATCTATATTATTAAAAAAAAGAAAAGGGAAAAAAAGATAGAGAGTGGCATGATGCCTAGTGGTGAAAACCCTTGCATCCCATTTAGAAGGTTAAGAGTTCAATCCTAAGCAGTGAAAATTGTTTCTCCATGACGGCAGAAAGAGAAAATATCTGCTGTGAACTCTGTGTGGTGTCAGGAAGGACATCCGGCCAGTAAACAGTCAGGTCCATTCAGTCGCCCCAACTCTACCCTGAATTAAGGGATTACAGGGTCATAAAAAGAGACTTAGTGTAGGCAAGGTAGAATTCTCTGAGACAGACAATTCTAGGACAAGATGGCTTTTACTTCCATCCAGGGGTAATTCCAGGTATTACTCTTGAGAAAAAAAAAACTTGAAATATTCTTCATGCAATTCATTGAGAACTTTGTTATTCACTGGAAGTAACATTAAGCATAGTTGCCTTTTGAATTCGTACCTGTGACACCTTTGAATCTTAGTAACTCAAAAATTAAGCTGGTGAGGAATAATAATGCTATTCAGTCATAAAGTAGTTTTCATTTTCTACATATAAAATTGTCAAATATAATGGATTAGATAAGATCCTCTACATACCATTTTAGACATAAAATGAAGTTCGTATGTGACATATTTTTGTGTCTTTATCTAAGCCTTAGATTTATATTCCTTTTTTTATTGTCTTTCATATGAAAATATCAACTATTTCTATATAGCTTTCAAAACTATCTATAAAGCGTTCTAACCAGTGGTGAAATCCAATTTTTGTACTACCGGTTCTGCGGGAGTGGCTTGGTGGGCATGGCAGTGGAAGGATACTGCAAAATCTCCATTCCCACCTCATTCCAGGAGAAGGATATTGCAAAATCTCCTTTCCCTCCCCACTCCTGGGGAAAGGATATTGCAAAATCTCCATTCCCACCGCAGTCAGAAATGGTATTAGCTGGTTCTCCAAACTACTCAAAATTTCTGCTACCAGTTCTCCAGAACATGTCAGAACCTGCTGGATTTCACCCCTGGTTCTAACTGTTAAAACAACACAACACAACACAACACAACACAACACAACACAACACAGCACAGCACAGCACAGCACAGCACAGCACAGCACAGCACAACACAACACAACACAACACAACACCAGTCCCCTATTCTGGTACTTGATGATTAAGCCAAATTTTATATTAGCCAACATTACTTGCCAGGGTGACTGGAGGAAGCGCCTCCATTTCCTCTCATTCATTTTTCGTCTCCCTTTGAGTTTGGCGGAGCGCATGGCCTTCAGAGCATGTGCCACAGCATAGACTGCATTGTAGACACTGTAACTATGTCCATTCATGGTGATGTCAAAGACAGAATTAGGAAGAGTCTCCAGCTTCTCTTCTCCAGTGCAGATCCTTTTAGCATTCTCATCGGTAATATTACTGGAGAATGAGCATTCAAATGCATCTTTCCAGAAATCTCTAATAAACCCATCATCTTTTTTTAAGTTTGGGTTTCTCTTCTGTATAAACTGTTGGAATCCGGTCAGCTCCTTTGAGTGAATTGCAAAAGAAAGTGCACCATGGAGAAAATCAACGGGCAACGGTCTTTGCATTAGAATGGATGTGAATTCCATCTGGGCTGTCATGATCCAAACTTTGGCCGTTCTTTCCTTTGGAATGTTATCATAATTGAAAAAATAGATCATTACTCTCAAAGGCACCAAGCCTATAATTTCAGCACTTAAGATAACTGCAATGACTGTACTTTCCATGATCACTTTGAATATTTTACCTGCATTTTCTATCCACTCAGCAGCTGCATTACCATACATTATCAGGGGAAGACATTCTATAAAGTCAAAGCAGATTCCTCTCTCTGAAAACATGGAAAGTCTCTTTTGAATGAATCTGTCCCTATCTTCCTCATACATAGAAACTAACCCAACCCAGGTCCATCCAAAATGCAACAATAAGTGCAGTATTCCTTTAAATTGGTGGTTCTCATCCAGGAACATTGATTTGACAAATGTTGCTGTTTCAGCATTCCCCAATGGAGCTGATCCATATGTGATCTAAATGAAGGAAGTCAGAAGAACACAAGAATGAAGGATTTCTTCTAAAATAAAAACGAAAGTTAAAAACCAAAGCATATGTGTTTATTTAATCCATTCTCTGTTTTTGACTGGGATACAAAAATAGGGTGCATAAAAATTAGTTTTACATGACATCTGCAATTTTGCTCATCAAGCAAAAAGGGACAGCCCTTTCAAGATATTCTTTCTCTTGGTTTTGCTCAAATTTTCATTTCAATGACCCAACTTTTGAATATAATAAATAGGTGGTGAACTTTTCATGTTGATCCATTTTTTGTCTCACCTGGGGAAATTTGTAGTTGCACAGAGAGATTGCCATGTTGAGACAGGTGTTACTACGGGGTCCTCCAATGACAACTACTGTGTTGGTCTGGTCATTGCATTTGTAGTTGGGTATAAATTTATCCTTTGTAGATAGAAATTCCATTGATAAATGATAAGTTGTACTTTCCATATTGTAGTCAGTACCAATATAGAAACCAAGGCTAACATTGGGTAAAATCCCAGAATATTCATTGATCTCTTTTACAGCAAATGGCAGAGCCAAAGTATGCTGGTAATTATGAGTGATGAACCTTCAGTGAAAGATATAAACTATGTCAATATATTTCAGTTTCAAAATTGGACAGCTGTTTTATACATATGTATTCATGAATATATAAATTGGTGTTTATTGTTTGTTCTGGATACCTGGAATGTGGTCACTATCAAATAATACCCCTAGATTGTATCAACTAGAAAGCACCAATCTAGATGTGGCTACTTAACATTGAGCTAAGGTAGCATTTACTCAGACCCCACTTGAAATACTGTGTAGAGTTCTGGAGACATCACTTAAAAAAAAAAAGATATTGATAAGATTAAGAGAGTCAAGAAAAAGGCAAGAAAAATGGTGAAAGGTTTGAGGGACAAAACATATAACGAACTATTAGAGGAACTGAATATGTTCAGCCTACAGGACAGAAGGAAAGGGGTACATGACAGAAATCTTTAAATATATTAAGGAGTGTGAATAAAGTTCTAGAAGGTAGTATTCTCAATATTAATTAAAACATAAGGACATGTGGACATAATTTCTAACTAACAGGAGGAAAGTTCAAAACCATTGTTATAAAGTATTAACTTCACAGAAAGAGAAGATAGATCCTTGGAAACGACTTCCAGGGGAGGTAGTGGATCACACACCAGTTTACTAAGTTTAAACATTAAACACATCCGTTTTCGATGTTTCTATCTGATTTCAGTATTATCTATATCTTATCTATATTTTCATAGAGAAGGAAGACAACTCCATTTTACATCCTAAACCTAAATTATGCACTATAGGGTTTCCTGTTTTATATCTGGATGAAATAAAAAGGATTCACCAGAGAGCTTCTGCAATATGTAGATTGGTCAAACTTTTTTTTACTTTCAACAAGGGACTTCGTTGAAGGAAGGATGTTTCTTGAGGAGAATGAAATTCATATACTTTACAATTAAAACTAATAATATTAATCTCAATTTCAACATCAGTATTAGGACAGCTCTGAAATTAAAAAAAATGACTAAATATGGTCACTGGAACTGGTCATATCCGCTGACTAGAAACCAATACTTTTAAGCATAAAAGTGAAAGAAAATACATTTAGGTATCAATGAGGGCAAAGAAAAGGTGCAGTGTGAGGAGGAGGAGAAGTAGTCAGATACTTACATGTACTGATCAAGGACATCATACTTAGGAAGGCTATGAAAAGTGATCTCATTTGAAAGAAAGAGAACTTGATAAATAATAGCAGCAATGATTAAATCTCCAGACTGATAGTATTTATGAACAATTGGCAGAGGACTACTAAGTTTGCAGGTGTAGGGAGGAGAAATGCTCATCATAGTTGGGGAAAAAAGTAAAAGTAATGTTCTGAATATAACCAACTGACTATAGCATGTAGTCATTGTAGACCTCAAACAGTAACTCTTAAGTTACCATTCAACTGAGTAGCTGACCATTCATTAATATTATCTAAACTTAAGACAATGAATTTTATTTAAAGTTAAAAAAATGAAATGTCACAGATGAAATACTAATCCTACCTACGTGCACTTCTATATTTCTATGCCAATATGAATAGGATGCAATGTCTTAATCTGGGGTGATCATTTTTACAGTGCCTGCTGGAATTCCCTTAAGATTTGGAGAAGAAGGAGCAATAACTATCCTTAATCAGTAATCAGTATCATTCTTTGTAGCAGTACTTTGAAAAATATCAGAAGGAAGCATGTTTATTGTATTGCAATAGTCCTTGCTGCATAGTTATGAACCTTTGGAAGAAAGGCGTGAAGTTAAAAAATAAGGGAGTAAGAGTTCATATGCCCAGAGGAATACAAATGAAAACACCACTAGAGGGGAAAAAATAATAGAAACACACCCTTGAGGTTATCTGGCCCAGCAATTTTGCTTCATACATATTACTTTTTTTAAAAAAATATTGAATACTTTGTTTTAAAAATAACTTAACTTATTCTATTTTTAAAGCTTAATTTAATTGATTAAATTGTATACCACCCAGAATGGCTCTCTGAGGGAGATGGGAAGTGAAGAAGAATGAAATACACATACATACATACATACATACATACATACATACATACATACATACATATGCTGAATCTCCCTTGAACACTGCAATATTAATTCAAGCCCTAGAAAAACATCATCCTGGAATGTAGAAGATGGATTTAATTGGAAATGGAGCTTTGGGATATGAGTTGACCTTGTTATGGTGGAGTTATGCTTCCCTAACAGATGGGCATTTTCAGAATGTTCTTTCTGCTCTCTCTGGATCTCAAGATCCTGCAGCAATCAGCAGAACATTTGTGGTACCCTACATGGCACACCAGCTATGACCATTCCAGTGGCAGATTGATAAATTTATATGATTAGGGAAAAAGCCCAGAATCAAATTTAAAATGTTACAAGATACCAGAAGTAAAGGTGGCTTTGGCCTTCCAGACTGGGAACTGTACCATCAAGCAGCAGTAATGTCAAGGCTCAGGGAATGGATAAATCTAAAGAATGGAGGAATTTTAACAATTGAGGGTCATGACTTGCAGAAAGGTTGGCATGCTTTTATTTGGAATGGGAAAGATAAAGCCCATAAGTATTTCGAGAGGAATCAAGTGAGGGAAGTACTATTAGAAACTTGGATGAAAATTAAAAGGAACTTCTATCCAAAAATCCCAAGGTGTCGACAGTGGAAGCCTTGGTCAACCCTAATTTAATTGACTTTAATAAAATAGTGACATATAAGGAATTGTTAGATAGACTAAGGAATTTGAAATCCAGACAAAAATTATTGGAAGAAGGAATTAAAATTGATTGGTGGCCCTATTTACAAATCCAAACAAAATATAAAAAAGATTTAGATGTATATGGATTCCAAACTGACCAACAAGAAATGGATAAAATATTAACCAGTGTCATGAATAAATGCCTTGCCTCTGATCCAGAGCTAGAGGCAGAGGGGCTGGGCAAGCCAGCCCCCAAGGTCCACCCTAACCCAATAACCCCTCCTTACCTTAGCCACGCCCTGGGGGTACTTAAGGGTCAGCCATGCGGTCCTGCCTCAGTTCCAGACTTGTACCTGTAACGATAAGATGCATAATTAATAAACAGTAATTGATCTAATGAAAACCTGTCTATGGAGTTATTGGGCATGATCCTCGAACACATTTAACAATATGGTAGCAGAGGATGGTTGGATAGCCCAATCCTAATACTCCACAGCATGCAAAGGACCACAACAGACAGGGTGAATACCAGAGCATTCACCAAGAAGATGGCAGAACGATCCTCCCAACCCGAAACCACGCAAGGAGAGGCACCCGAGACGAGCGGCCTACTCCACCACCCATCCACCCCGGCCAGAAGCAATGAGGGGTGGACGAAACACGAAACCTCAAAAGAAGAGATGCACGACCTAAAAGGAAAACTCCTGGAGCTGATAGATTCGTCACAAAGCAACACCGACCTCATCGCGGAACTCCGAAGCCTGATCAAAGGCTGCGAAGCAGCGAGTGAGGAAGATGAAGACGAATCCGATTACAGCGACGAAGACCCGGTAAGGGAAGATTTCCCCCACCAAAAACCTACCGCAAAGGCCGAAGGAGACTTCGCGCCCTTTTTACGGTGGCCATCTTGGGAGGCGGCGTCATCAAAGATGGCCGACCATCCACCAATAGACTCCCGAGATTTAAATCCCATGGCGGGAATCGGAGCCTACTCAAAAACAACCGACCAAAAATACTGCAAAAAGCACAAAAGCCCAAAACCCAAACCTACAGGCCCGCCTACCGAGCCCGAGGTCAATAAAGCCATTGAACTAATCGCCGCGGCCCTAGGGGACAAGGTGAAAATACTGACCATACACCCCGGTGCCAGGCCAAAAAGCAAGGGGGACCCCAGCGCGAGGAGGGCCGGCACCGACGCCCACCCTGGGGAACTAGCCACCATCGCATGAACCCAGGGCCACCCAGAGCCCCTAAGGAGCCTACCCACAAAAACGGGACACCAGGGGCGATGGGATTACTCACCGGACCGATGACCGGAACCAGATCCATGGACCACGAGGCCATCCGCAGGCAGGGGACGTCCATCGGCGGGCAGGGGGCTCGGCCCGACACCCACAGGTGGCATCCGCATGAGGCCGGGCCATCCGGGACCATTCACGGCCCCAGCAGGACTCCCAGCATCTACCGATGATCCTCACCGCTTTCCGAGACTCCAGACGGCGATCCGCGACGATCCCGAGCAAGCGAGGCCGACCGGGGAGGAACTGAAGGCCCATCCGGAAGATTGGGGCCTTCACCCGGGAGCAGCATGCACGAGCTCCTCACTCCACGGCGACTGGGGAGAAATGAACCTCACGCATGAGCAGCACGCCCCTGTAAGAGAAACGGAACAGGACATAGAGCTACACCGACGCAAGCACATAGAGACAAGTCAGTTCAGACTTGCCACAGTCGTTCCTCTGCCTTATTGTGAGTATCCTTACGTGAGGAACCATGGACAGCGACATAATGTAAGTAATTTAACTTACAATTCAGGGACTTTGCCCAGTGACTTTCCCAAACTAAGGCTAGATGGGGAGAATTTCCTGGAGCTCCAAGCCACTCTGCTAGACCTATTGTCCATGGTTACAGACCCCCCAGAAAAACCCTGGACTTTTGAATTAGATTGCATCCACCACAAAGCATACTGTATTGTCATTGCCAGCATTACCCCCAGTATTTACCCCAGCATTAGCCACCACCTGACTGCTCTAGAAATAATACAGAGAATGAACAAACTATTTTACTGCCAAAGCGTTGCCAGCACCACCAGACTGTCCAGGGAATTTTATGCCACCAAACTCAAGGCAGGGACTCCAATGAGCGAGCATTTACTATCACTAAATAACACCAGGGCCCAGCTGACACAAAGGGGGGAGGTCATAAGCGAGAGGACCATGATAAGTATCATAGTAAATTCCCTAGACCCTAGTTGGGACACCTTCATTACGCAGATAGACAACCTAGGGACAGGGAGGCTCTCACTGGATTTACTAACAAGCAAACTAATATCCGAAGATAGCATCAGAAAGAACCGCTCTCTAAGCCACAGGGAGCAAAGACCCAGCAGGAAGGTTGAGCCACAGGGTAGAAACCACAGCAACACAGAGTGTTATATATGTGGGTCAAGAAACCATTACAAAAGGGACTGCCCTAAAAATACAGGGGACAGGGGACATAGAAGAGATAGACCAGAACAAAGGGCAAGACATACCAGCGGACGCTCACCAGAGGTCAGACACAGGCGTAGGGATTCCCCTAGCCCCAGGGACAGGAGAGATCACAGGGACAGTTCCAGGGAGAGCCACACTGGATCACTGTATGGCATAGGGGATCAAGAACGACGCATAGGCCAGGACAAGGAGGAAGGCACATGGCTACTGGACTCAGGGGCCACAAACCACACCACATATGACTGCAATCTACTAACCTCTTTTACAGGAGAAAGCTTTGTAGTAAAAGTGGCTAACCAGAATAACGTACAAGTAACAGGCAAAGGTAACGCATACGTGCCAGGAATAGGTGTGATACAGGGAGTACTTTTAGTGCCAAATATACCATATAATATCCTTGCCACCCTAAAACTGAGCAAGGATAACAATGTCGAGGTGACTTTCAAAGAAGGAAAGGCACAGGTAACTAGAGGGGGTAAAAGGATAGGGAAAGTAGTAGTCAGTGGGGAACTACCATTCTTCCACCCAACCAAGGACAAACAGCCAGAAGTAAACAATCACTGAGGGGTTAGACCCAATAGCCCAGACAACACAAGTGGGGAAGTAGAGGGGGTTAGGCACGCACACACCACTGATGATCCCAGTGAGCAGGGGGCACCCAGGGAGGAGAAACCAGCGATAGGAAAACTGATGCATGACAACTGTGCCCACCTATTACACAGAAAACTAGGACACATTAGCTTTCCCGTGGTGCAGAAAATGTTGGAATGCTCTGAAGGTATAAAAATAAAGAATTGTGAGAACTATCTCGAGTGTTCTATTTGTAAGAGCTCCAAATTAAAAACCAAACCAAGACCCAAAAAGTCAGTACGCACAACTAATTCGATCTTCCAACTCGTACATATGGATCTAGTGGGACCACTAAGGCCCTCCATCAAGTACAGGAAAAGGTACTTCCTGACCATAGTAGATGATTTCAGCCACTATGGCTTCGTGTACACCCTAAAACACAAGAATGAGGTATTCCAAAAATTTAAGGAATTCTATGCGAGGGTGGAGACACAGCACAACACCAAAATCAGGCAAATAATGACAGACCGGGGGTCT